AACAACCTGTTAAAATACACCAGARTGCAGGAAATAACATTTACTCCTTTAAAGATTTTCTGGGGGCGGACCCCCAGACCCCCGCCAGTGAGTCCCCCCAACATTACAAATACTTACTCTTGTTTTTTGTCTCTGAATGTTATAAAATCAGTGATATTATCTGTGAAAATACAAATTGAACATCTGTTGACAGATCCATAGTTTTCAATTAGTCATTTTTACAAACACATCATAAATTTCCTGTTATTGATATTAGTTCTGGTGTGCCACCCCTGGTTTTTCAGCCCCCTCCACTATGGCCCCCCCTGAAAAAAATTTCTGCAGGCGCCACTGGTGTCGACGCGTTGATTAAAGCAGGGTACCTCAGCTTTGGTTTGATCGTGTTCCTGCWCATCTTTCTGCAGGTGTTGCCGCTGACCAAGGTCCGGCCGCTCGCAGCCGACCTCCACCCCGTCCTCCTGGACACCTTTGAAACRGGTAAGAGTTCGGTGTTTTTCGGCTGTCTGTAAACTCTAAACTTCAGCTGCTGTTGTGCTGATCCGAGTTCAGATTCGGATGAAGACGCCAGCGAGAAGTCAACAGATGAGGAGCATCAGCGCTCCGCTGTGGAGGATCTCATCAACGTCCACTTCAAGTTTGAAGTCCGAGAGGTGCGTGTGTTGTCCTGGAACACTGTGGGGGTGGGGGGAGGTGAGGTGTTGTACCCTGTCCTCTGAAGGGGAGTCTGTTCAGGTGCTGCTGGAGCTCACCCGGCAGATGAACCAGGAGAAGACCGTCCTGTCCTTCAGCGTCTGCCAGCTGGGAGCTGAAGGGAGGATGAGGAGCTTCGACCTGAGCGTCACCTCATACCTGCAGCGAGTCGCGCTCGACTACTGTGACCTTCCAGGTAATACACTGATGAATTWAACCCCCACCACCCTCTTACAACTGAAGTGTGTCATATCAGCTCCAGAAACCTGGTGCTTCACTAAGAGACAGTGTTTGAGTTTATTTAACGGTTTTAAAGCTGAAAGTCTTTTGGCTACGTTTTAAATAGCAGCGACTTCCTTTTGTCCCTTTTAATATTGATGCATTAAATGAGAAATAATTGTTGGATGTTCTCCAGACGGCAGGAAGCCTCTCCACCTGATCAGCTCGTCCAAGCAGCAGGGCTCCAACCTGCTGAAGGTGGAGTTCATCAAGGTGAGTCTGAACCAGACAGACAGGTCCCTGTGTGCTGTTCACTGTTGGACAAGTTRTGGTTTATTATTTTACAAATGAGAGTCTGCCTGAGCTATAGTTTCAGTTATTACAAAAGGAAGTTTGAAATTATTATTATTATTAGGTTTTAGAGAAGAAACATGTTGGAGCTGCTGTGACGGCTTGAATAAAAGATGCTTTTCCTGTCGTTTTGCTCTTGATAAAATGAGTAACTTTTGATTCTCTAAAACTTTATAGTACAGATTTAAATCTTTCCAACAAACAAAATGAAGGTTTTATGTGTTTGTGGTTCTGCAGGCTGACCCGACCGGTCCCAGCTTCCAGACTCTGTTCAACAACACCGAGCAGACCCTGAAGGTGGGTGACGGATGAACCAAAAAATGTTCCTTCTTTCACGTATCTGAAGCTGTGTTTCCATTCACCATGAAAATGTGCARATTAGAATTTCAAAAATAAATTTGCTCAATGGAAACACGTCAATTTAGAAAAAAATTACGTTTTTCGACAAAATGTTTTTGTGCTAGGATGAAGTGGTTTTTCAGCTGTATTGAAATTTATGTTTTTCACAAAACTGCGATGGAAACACTTTTTTCGCATCACAGGAGTCACGTGATCAACAACCGTC